ACAAACTGATGATGGTGGAGAAAAACACCGAAACGTTTTTGTGACATTTTAAATGGTAAACAATAAAATTGACTGGAACCCAGGAATTTCTTTTGCATTTTTAACTAATCACATTCAAAGGTCCGATTCAGTTTTCTTCTCGTCTGGTTAACTCGAGCAGGAAAACTGAACGGAGGTTAGTTAGACTCCTTCCGCGAATAATTGTGCATAAATGAAGGTTGCCGCCGCTGCTTGGCACCAAAGTTATTGCATAAATGATGGGATTTTATGGAAAAATTAGTCACTCCTGCAGGCCACCAGTACAGTTACAAGTGGCCATAAACCAACTGATGCAGAAAGACTGGTCTGGAACTTTGCAGTTTCGACATCAGCTTGTCTACGTGATCATTCACAGTTCTAAAATAGCGTTAGTTGGGCAAATGTTTCCTTGAACTAGAATTTACGCCCCTTGCTATATGGGTATTGTGCCGATGCTCAAAATCGCCGGTTAGAAATTTGGGGCCCTGAGCCCGATTCAAGATTAACAATTCACTTACAATAACATGGACGTAAGCCGCATTATCAGCACTGTTATCACTAACCGGCATTTCAGCCTAATTTCCTCATAGTCTGTTCACGCAGACGAAAAGGCACTGAAAGGAGCACTGGGCGAAAAGTTTTATCACTTTGTACTGTCGATGTACGAGGAAGCGAATAAACTGCGGAACGAACAATCGGGTAACCGACGAATTGCATCTGCTTTATCGGACGACTGTATACTTAATGAGGTAATCTCCTAATCAGACTTAAAAACAAACGGAATGACATCACCACCTTGGTTGTTCACCTTTAGTGTTTTTCGATTGCCTACACAGCAGAACTGTGGACGGTGAAAGTACCCATCGATGGTACCGGCTCGGGTACCGTGCGCCGCTACTGCAATTTGTAACCGACCTTTTTTTGGGACACCTGCTCATTTATGTCGCAAGGGTACCTACAAATGCATAAAACCCCGAGTTTGAGCGACCAGTTCAAGTAAATGCTCTGATAACATTCCGGGTACTCGAGCAAACCGATCTCTGATTGGAAATATTTATTTAAATATTAAGCCATTTTGTACGGGAAAGACAACAAAAATGATGACTATCAATTTCAAATTCAAATTGATTCAATTCTCTATCCAACGATGCCAAAACGAATTCTGTGGCTCGAATGGTTCTTAGAAATTTCGAATTTAGTTATCTTTGAAATGATGTAAAAACGAGCTTTCTTACTCATTTTGCTTCCGAGAAACATTGCACAAAACGGCGATAATTTTTCTAATTTCATAGACAACAGAAAAGTGTATTTTTTCTACATAACCCCCCCTGACTTTAGAGCTGGATCCGCCCCTGCTATATGGGTAAAGATCACAAAAAAATGGGCAATTTTTGGACATTTTTTCGAAACCAAGTCGGCAAAACACGCAGGCGAATTTTCAACTTTGTTTAAAACCGTTCTCATATGCAAATTATCTGAGGTAGAAAAAAGGAACTTTGGATCGTGGTACAGACCAGAGGTTCCTATAAATTCCAAATCAAAATTAATTCTTGGGTTTCAGAGAAAACTGCCAACATTTCCCTATCCGTGGTTCACTTTCTAAAAAGGCCATTTATTTTTGTCTGGAATGATGTACAAATGAGCGTTCTTGCTCATTTTGCCTTCGAGATATGAGCAAAAACGGGACGGAAAACATGGAATTTTGGCATAATCTTGCAGCGAAGTGTCTGATATTCAAATTTCGCTTTCTGGGTCAAAACTACTCGAATTTCCTCACTCACGTTGTTACGACTGAATCGACTTTTCAATTCTCT